GTTGGTAAGTAAATATCACCGGATTAATTAACATTAAAAAGGTTGAAATATTTTAAATAATCATGGAATTCAAATTGAGGTTGTTCCACAGAGAGTATAAAATGAAACTAAATCAAATAATAACGTAGTTAATATCTAGTTACAAATGAAAGTGGTATAGATCTATTGGTAAAATACATAATTAGAGCCGAATTTGAGGGGGCAAAATGGGTATTTACACAGGATCTAATATATATATATATATATATATATATATATATATATATATATATATATATATATATATATATATGAAGAACTTATAACCAACGTCCAACGATAGTCAGTTAGTTAGTTGAGTCGACCACCACCAAAGCGATATTCCAGAATCCATACATGAGACGACTTGCCTCTGAAATCAACGAAACCAATTGCACCTCTGCCCTATTTGAAGACTGAAATCAGTTATATTTCGGTAAAAGTTTTATGTTTTTCTTTTTGTTCTAGTTTAGCACTTTATACCTAAATTAATATTCAGTAAATTGGGTTTATGTTCTAGTTTAGCCTTGAACCATACATGACTAAATCAGTAATATTAATGTAATAATGTTTATCAGAAATCTGAAATTTTGAATAATATTATCATTAAATTTGGCCCTTAATGTTTATGTATCAGTAAATTTGATGTAACTTGAATGTTGAAGTTCTTATTTAGATTACCATAAGTTTTGAATCAGATTTCATATTATCAGAAATTTGGAATCAGATTTAAATTTATTATAAATTATGTGTAACACCTTATCTCTGATGGTGTTTTTCCAGACTTTAATTGAGGGTTTTATAATCCATAAGAAATTGGAAGGATGAGGCGAAGCAGGAAGCCATTTATTGCATTTGCTGAAAAATTTGGAATTAATCACAAAAGAGAGGAACGCCTCTTAATAAGCGTGACACACTTTCGGCTCAGTGGACTGAATGTGTTTTAGAGTTTTGTGACTATTTTAAAGGTGCATTAACTCCAATAGTTTGTCATTTCTCAGCCTCCTTAAACCTTAGAATGTTCCTTGAGTGAAACCCTAGCCTCCTTTGAGTATTGTGAGCTTATCCTCTCTCATTGAACCAATTTTATTACTTTTTGTGGTGATTTAGTGAAGCTTGAAGATCAAGAAAGTTTATTTAGTTGAAAGGAAAGTTGTTATAAGTTTGGATCCAGCAAAGTCACTCCATTTTTGGACTTTTGTAGTACAAAGTTCATAACTTGGTCTTTCGTTTGCTAGATCTTATTATTGGCCATATTATATGCTTTTTGGTCCATTTTGTTTATGATATTGGAATTAAGATGAGTCCAATATCTTTTGAGCACCTAGGAATGCTCTTTGGACCTTTTTGACTTGAAAAGTTTCCATCTTGTGCTTGTCCTTTAAGTCATGCAAGTTGTTTGGTTCTTTAAGTCATTTTTTGGTATTTAAGTTTAGATCTTGCTTGTTTGGAATGTCTTAATGAAAAATTTTGGAAACTTTATCCATTAATACATTGTTAATGACAAGATCTGGAAGTTTGGGATTGGACTTAATGGATTAAGTCATTTCTAGTTGTAAAGAAGGTCTCGACGTGGCGCCCCCTTCCCAAGAACGGTGCGTTTTTGGGGTTTTTCAGATGCATGTCTATTTTATGCTAGAAACTCGACTGTTTTGTCATGTAGTGGGTGCGGTATGCCTGGTTTTCCAAGTGTTGACTTTTTAACCATTGACTTCAACCATTGGGATTTGACTTCTTGAAAAGTTTGATGTTTGGTCAACTTTAAGGATTTGAGCTAATACTAAGGTTTAGTCTCTGTTTGTTAGGTGGTTCGGGTGGTTGTTTCATTGGACTTCGAGTAGTTGATTTCACCTCTTTGAACATGTGAGTTTTCTCATTATACTTTCCACTTCAATAGGTATCCGTGTGTGCTAAGGTATGGTTAGGTTGTAGTAGCTTGTTAGACTATATTATATTGTTAGGCTAGTAGAGTTGTTAGTATGTTATCTGTAATGTTGAGTTGTATGTTTACCTATGGTATGCATATACCAACATATTTTGTGGGCGCTGAGGCATTCCTAGTTTGCGTGGAAGGCCAAGATGCTGGTGGGCAAGCTTTATGTTGTAGGCCGGAGAGTTGATGACAAGACCAACTAAAGTGTTGTGAGTCTAGATACTTGTTTGGGTTGATACAAACCGGGGGTTGATACATAGATGTTTTGTTGCCCGTTTGCCATCTCACTCATTGTACGATGACAATTAAAATATATGATTGCAACTTGCCTAAAAAAAAAAGTAAAGTGTTTAAGTTATTGAGAAGTTCCAAAGATCTTGGTTGTGTCTAAGATCCTGGGTACAAAATAACTAAGTTCGAAGAACTGTTTAATAATAGTGTGTTACTTCGTAATGAAAATAAGTGTATTTGGGAAAAAATAATGTTAAAGTGATTTAATAAGTGAACCGTGTAATTAAGCTTAAGATACTCAAAAAGGGTCCCAAGATACCACACAGTATCTTACTAATTTGGATGATGAAAACATATGAACAATCAAGTAAATAGTGGAATAAATTATTCGATCAAACAACATTAAATAAATCAAAGTAAATGCAAGAACACAGAGAGTTACAAGGAAATCCCTTAATCCTTTTAAATCTCTGGTATAAAACCTCGAGAGGTGATGAATTCACATGCCTTAGAACTTATATTAAATCGAAATAAAATTACAAGTGCTAGCTAATCTTAGAAATGATGTAAATGTGCTTAAGTGTCGAGAGAACCAGAGAGATAATGGCAGTCAGAGTGTATATGTGAATAATGATAAGCTAGGCTTTATATACATATCAATTATAACCAAAATTCCGACATTCTTGGGATCTTCCTTGATCCATGCTTGATCCGACTTTTACAATGGTCTTCAACGTTCATGATGCATTGACCACGTGTGTTTTGACCTGGTCTATTCCTTTTTAGTCAATATTTAAATTTTTTTTTCACAATATATTACAAGAAACATGATGACAGTCCAAGATATTGATTAAATCCAAGATCATAGGCTTACCTGGGATGTTAGTTCAAGTTTAAAATATAAATAGTAAGGTGAAAATTCTACCCATAACGGTACTCGTTTGGTTGAAATACAACGGTGAAGTTGTTACAGACTTGGGGTTGTTACAGACTCGTTGTTGTTATGTATGTCTATTGTTGTATTTGGTATTTTTCGGAACTCACTAAGCTTTGGCTTACAATTATGGATTTAATGTTTTTCAGGTACTTTATCGATTCATGGGAATGCGAAGGTCTAACTGTACATACACATCAACAATTTTATGATTCGAGATTTCATGTATATTTTCCTCATAACTCTGATTTTGAATGATGGTTTATGAATAAATGGTTTTGCTCTGGATGTATCTTTATGAAAATGGTGCCTATTCTATTTCAAAATGAAATCATTTATTTTGAAAATCAGGACGTTACATTCAGAATCAGATTTCAAATTATCATAAATTATGAATCAGATTTTAGATTATTTCTAACTTAGATTTTAGATTATTTCTGAATCAGATTTCAAATTATCAGAAATTCTTATTGAAACTAATGAACTTGTCAACTTGAAGTGATGAAATATAAACAAGCGTCTGATAGTCAAAAACGTAAAAAGAGAAAACTATATGAAGAAATTAGAAAGTTTCAAGTCGGATCTCTAGATAAGTTTAACCATAGACAACCTGTTGGAGAGCATATTAAAGAGCATGTTGAAGAGCAAGGTTGTTATTGTATGTAATTACTTGTTAAAATACTATGATTTTGCTATGTGTATTGTTATAAAGTTTATCATCGTTTTAAAAAAACTTTAGTTTATATAATTAAATTCGTTACACGTTAATGTCTAAAGGGCATCTTTTCGTATCGTCTTGGGCATTTGAATCCTCAGGATCGGCCATGTCTTGTACTGTTGTACATAAGCACGTAAATAAATAAAATACATAAGCATGTACTTCTTTTAAATGTTTATTTTCTTAATAACATATATAGATAAAATGATAAAGTTGTCATACACTTTTAGTCGTCTAACAAACCACAACTCGTATCGTCGGTACTCTGTTGTCTCTCTCAAACATCAAGTTGAAGTTTTGATGAAACAAACTCCTTTTTTGGGGAAAATGGCAATGATTAGATGGATTTTGTTAATAACAAGGTAAAAATATATACAAACAACCAGTATAAGTGAAACGGTATGTGAAACAAAACAAAAATGAAGGAATATACCCTAAAACTAAATAATTGCAAATTGATTTAGAGATTAACATGATTCCATCTATTTTGGTTCTTAAGCACTTTTGTTTATGGGTTTCTCCATAAATTTCTATATTTGATTTCGGTGTAGTTTAGTTATGAGTCAATTTTAATTTGGTTCAAAAGTGATTAATCCGATTTTCGTCCGATTTTCATTTGATTGCCGAATGTGAAGACAATAGAGGTCATCGAAACTTTGAAGGGATAATGACTCCAGAGGGTAACATACTTTAACTTTTGTTCACATTTGGTCACTAAATTATTTTTCGTGCTTTATTAACCCTTGAACTTGTTGAAACGTGTACATTTTACCAGTATGACCAGTAATAGTGGGTTTTGTCGGTTTCCGGTGTTGTTTCCGACCAAACATGAGTTTTCCAGTCATCTTCTTCGGTCAAACTCGATTTTACAGTGATGTTTCCGGCTAAACTCGAAATAGCATCTGAGAACGACCTAAGCTTGGGGGTTGTTCCAACGGTTGTTGCAGCGAGGGGGCTGCTTCGGCGGCCTCCTTGGTTGTTCTTCTTCTGATGTCGGCAGAAAACACGAAGGGAAAGGGCAAGGCAGATCAACAACAATCAGGGGGAGTTTGCTGTTGTGGATCCGACGAGAAGGGATGAGAAAAACAGGCTGGGGGCTGCTTCCCTCTTGACTGCCGAAAGACCCCACCTTCAGTGGAGGTTTTCTTGATTAAAATTAAAGAAGAATGAGGGAGGTAAGGAGCAGAACAGAACAACAATTTTCAGGGGGTGTTTTGTTGCTTCAATCGACTAGATGGTGGTGGAGCAAGAGGCTACTTCTTCTTGATGATTTTCGAGGAAACAACACCTCCAAAGGAGGTATTCTTGGCCATTAACTAGGCAGAAAAAGAAGAGAGAAAGGGAGAGTGTTTTGCTGCTTCAATCTAATTTCTACATGGGATTGATTGGTCGTAAACATTGCCAAGAAAATCGAGTTTGACTAGAGAAGATGACCGGAAAACTCATGTTTGGCCGGAAACAATGTCGGAAACCAGCAAAACCCACTATTACCGGTCATACTGACATAATGTACATGTTTCAACAAGTTCAATGGTTAATAAAACACGAAAATAATTTAGTGACCAAAAGATAAAATACGTTACTCTTTCAAGTCATTATCCCTACTTTGAATTAAGGTGGATGAGAAATGGATAAACGTGAGATAAGATAGAGTAGGTGTTAATATATATATATATATATATATATATATATATATATATATATATATATATAACTTTTTTTAGAACTGCAAGTGAGTATATCCCCGACGTTGAACTAAAGACCTTATTGTTGGATATCTTGTTAGCGAAGTAGGCTAGACCCAACTTATAGATGTTAATATTTTAATAACAAAAATTAGATAACTAAATAATAAAATAGTAAATACATACAAAGAAATATATAAAAGCAATATAATCATTTCTTGTGGAAATAAAAGCCATATGAAATCAAACCATGAGGTTTATTCGTGAGAAAAATATTATGAAAGAAAATATATATATATATATATATATATATATATATATATATATATATATATATATATATACCTTAATAAGCTCAAATGTTGAATTTTAAGAGGTACAACCTTTAAAGCATCATATATAACAAGTTTATGCATTAGAATTTGTCAAAAAGTCAAAAAGTCAATGATAAGAAAAAAGTTTAAAAAATTAAAAATTCTAATGTGAATACTGATCGTCAGCTTGACTAGGTCTTTTTCATTTGAATTCCCCCTTTAATAATTTGACATGACCATCTTTAATCTGTTAGGTTGAATGTTAAATCCTCATCTTCCCTTGATCTTGGTAAATTTCTCACGATTCTCGCCCACCTTCCCCTATATCTGGCCTCTTGCTTCTGAACTTTACATCCTCCAATTTCTCCAAGCTTTTTTTTCTCTCTCTCTAAATGCTTGATGTGTGATTCTTTGATTCAATGTTGGTTTGCCCGTTTCATATTAACAGAAGGCTTATGGTTTCCTGCAGGTTCAAGAAAACATGATGCCTTCTCTTCCCTACTAGAAATGCTTTCTCAAGTAAAAAAAAACATTTATATCTTCTTTTTTGTTTAACGTGTTTGTATGATTCAGGGGTTTGCTCCGTTTCAGTTTCATTATCCTCATTTCATTTGGTTTGACCCCTTCTCAAAAATCTCTCTAATTACCTGGAGCCATTTCAAATTTCATCATTATCCTCTTATTTCTTCTTCCCCTATCCGTGGTTCTATTTCTAAAAACAGGGGAATGATGATCTTCACCATTTTATCTCAACCACCAACGCTACCACACACACTACCGCACTCCGCCATGACCACTGGTACCACTACACCGACGCCAGTCCTACGGTGTTGTGATTGTGAGTGTTCCGATGCTTTAAACAATTTCACTCTTATTGCTTCATGTAGGCATCACACCATCATTTGATATTTGTCCGTCATTTGAACCCTAACTTTATCATTTTTATTTTTCAGTTTTTTTATTATAGGGGTAGAAGGTCTAGAAGACGAAGGCATATGTGTTGGTCATCTTTTAATCTGTATGGTTCCAGTAGTCGATACCTTCATCTTCATGGTCACATGTAATGGTCTCCTTGCTCTCTATATTTGTTCCGTTTTACCGTCTCCAACCATCAAAATCATCACTATTCACTGCTAATATCTTCCCCGTTCTCTTGGTTCGATTTTAGGGTAACGTTCAATATGAAACTAACATCAGTTCCATTAAACTCACCACTAATTATGCGTTTGTGGATGCTGAACTTTGTTTTTTTAGCCATTGGTATCTAAAGACATTTTCTGGTTCTACTTTCTACTAATCATGTTTTGCAATTCAACAAAATCCGATTGCTATGGACTTTGTGGTTCTTTAACTGTTAGTACAACTCTTTTTTTTTTACATAAATCTTCCTTGAAAATAAGATTATACCATCAAAAATTTGTCTTTAAAATTAGTTTTTATGTAAAAATACTTCCATCTATGATTATGTAATCAAGCATTATCTACTAATTAGAAGTCATAGCAAGTCAATAAACACGCAAGAAAAGATAATAAATATTTACATTATGTGTTTATATCAGGCAAAACAGATCCATTGCAAGTGTAATGTGCATACATCGAGTTGGAAATGGACTCCGTTTTCAGTTGATTTGGCAACAGTGTAAGTTTTCTTTTTGAAAAACCAAAACATATTTGTTACTTTCACTATGTCACGACGTTTACTAAGTCAAAATTTTGGTCCCAAAATGTTTCATTTTGCAATCTCAGTCCTTATTATAAGGTTTTATGTCTATTTGGTTATTAGATTGTTAAATTTAACCACTCAATTGTTGTTTCATTTAGAATATCTTTTTTATCCATGGACCATAACGGCGAAAAGCAATATACCACAAAGATCAATTTTTTTTAATTTCTTTTATTTTTTGGTCAAGGGTTATAACTTTTTAGTGTAAATTACAAAGATGATCCCTTTTTGTTTTGATGTTTATAAAGTTTAGTAAAAAATTTAAACCATTTTTATCTTTTATCTTTGTTTCAAGGTTTCATGTTGCTTTTGGTCCTTATTTCAAGGTTCAAGGTTCCAAATTTCAATATTAAACCATGAAATAGGACCATTTTTCTTTACTCTTGAACTTTTAATACGTCTGTATGATATTTTTACAATTTGTAACATTGCCAAGTCTTTATTATATTCTTTTTAAACATCATTAGTTGTTACCCTTCCTACTGTATTGGCTGTTACCCTTACTACTGTATTCAGGTATTTGATCTCAAAGCTTGCAACAGCAAGTCACATTTCTATTTTCAAAAAACTATCATTGATTTGTTTATATATCATTAAAGCCAAACTGAAATGTTAATTTTTGCATTTATGCAAAAATGAGTGTTTTGTTGGTTGCAACAAGCTATGATAGTTATATGGAATAAGCTCATGTATGGTCTTATTATGTGCATAACCAATTTCAAGCTTTCAGCAACCATATTTTGAAGTAGGGAAGACAAGAAATTGTCTAATTCTAGGTATGTGGCAGACTATATGAGTTTGGTTTTGAAGTACTCATGCAAAAGCAAGTTAGTATTGGCAATAAGGCTCAACTTGATGTAATTTAGATGACATCTCAAGCCTGCTATGTTTTTTCCTACTAATATACAACACACTTTCTTTAATCTTTTTTTATTATAGCATCCTTCTTAAAATGTAAGTAAGCTTTCTATAATAAAATACAATGCAATTGTTTTAAATTAGTAGATTTATTAATATTCATAGTTATAATAATAATGATTTAAAGTCAAGTGTGACAATTTAACAAATTTGGAAAGTACATTGCATTTTTTTGCAGTTGTTGACTGGCTGCTTGCATTATTGTTGTAGCAGGGGTTGCAATCACAAGCTATTGATGCAATAAGGTTGTGAGATGGTTCTCATTTTACTAAAAGAGCATGGGGACTGAAATGGTTTATGTATTTTTAATCAGAGCTGTAGGTGACATAGGTTCATTCAACTTTTGATATAATTAGGAATTTGTATCTCTATTTAGTTTTAATGTTAATTTTATCATAACAGATGGTACATTGCAAGTTCAGGTGGTGAAATTCAAACATTAATTTGCTTTTTTGGATTAACTACCTTTCTCCATTTAGTTATTCATACGATATCTATTTGAATATATTACACATATTTAAAAAAACTATAAAAAAAGCATGTATAAGTTAATTGATATGTGTTGGACATTTGGGTTAAACCAATTTCAATATAACCTGCATCCTATTCATATTTCTACCTCACATTCATCCATATTTTTATTTATTCGAAATGATTATTTACAGAATTGAGTCATTTTTTAGATTAAATATCATTTTTAAGAGTCTCAACTTGGTATATGTAAGGAAAATATAATGTGGCTGGGAGTTTAGGGAGATTGATAATGAAAGGGGAGTAATATACTCCTTGTGTTTGTCTCACATTGTGAAAAAAGATGTGGACTATGTTTATAAAATAATGAGATTGCATTAAATTCATAAAATTAGATAAAAGATGAAATAGGTAAGATAAGGAACCCGATAGTATTGGGAACTATTTTGGCCGACTTCAAAGAGGTTCCGAATTTTAAATAGTCATGCAACCGGTTCCAACTTTTTATATATTGTCACTTCCAGTTTGGTGACTAATTCCACGTAATTTATGTGAGTATCTTCCATTGCTTGCTCCAAATAAACACCCTCTCATTTTAGTCATTTTTTTATTAACTTATTCGATAAAAAAAAAATTACGGCTCAAAGATCCATTGATCGCCTTTTGCCAATTTATGTACCTACATATGACCACCGACCATCAACATCTTTTTCACATAAAAACAAATTATTCTATAAAAAATTAGTGACGGAAATCTGTTTTGACCTAAATATAAGGAAATGCCTTGACCGAACCAATCTCTCTTATACCTAAACGTAAAACCCAAAACCCAAAACAAAAAACCTTAAATCCAAAAGTCTAAACCTAAAACCCATATCCTGTAACCCAAAACCGTAAACCATAAATACTAAACCTACTCACCTAAACTAAACTCTTTGCCCGTGCACTGCGTGTTCTTTTTAATGTGACATATTCTTGAAAAAATGTTAAAACTAAGCAAAAGAAAACTATTCACCAAAAGGTTACATAAATGGTCACTGTGGTTTCTTAGATTCTTGATTTTCATTCCAAATTTTTTTCCGTTACATATATGGTTTGAAGCAAATTAGATTCCAGGGTCAGGGGTTTACCTTTTCATTACCTTCGTGTCAAAGTTGGACGCAAAATCATACATGTTTCTGAATAGAAATAATTATCAAAATGAACAATTCGTACCCGTCGCTTGGCGCGGGTAAACGGCTAGAATATATATATATATATATATATATATATATATATATATATATATATATATATATATAATCAAATGTTTAGTGTCTATAATTTTAAAACATGAATACAAAGCATTAACCATATAAGTTAATAGATATTAATCGTAAAAAAAAACATTCGATGTTAACTAGTTATTGGACTAAAGTTAAAAGATTAATCGGTTAGAAAAGATATAATTAGGGAATCTAAATTGTTAATTCGTTGAATTTTAAAAAATAGATATTATTAATATCATAACAAAAGTTTATAAATATCATTAACATCTTAATAAATATCATTAACATTATAAAAAATAAGTTAATATGATCGATACAATACTATATTACTCCATGTTAAAATAAATTAATTTTAATATTAACTTGAGAAAAAGAATAAAATTGTCACTTACCATATTCATATGAGAGGTACATAATCATTTGATGAATAGTTCTTAAACACGGACAACATTAGAGATGCCCTTAAAACCTTGACAATAACACGTGGACGCAAGCCTCTATTTTTTGGGTGGCCACATATTGTAAACCTGATCATATTTCTCTTTTTTTTTCTATATATATTTCACTCCCATTTTCTTCTCCTCTATTAATTTGCATATTCTCTCTCTCTCTCTCTCTCTCTCTCTCTCTCTCTCTCTCATCCACCATCATTGTCGTCATCAAACTTGGTGGTCTGCTTTTTACAATTTATCCATAGATCAAGCAACCTCCGAAGAAATCATAAGTATGGAAACACCAAATCATTAGATCATAAGGTACGAAACGACTATGTCAAACATACCCATCACTCTTTCTGAAATTTGTCTCACCTTGTTCCGTTTAGCCATGTCTGTTGCAGACCCATGGCCCTTTTCCTAAACTTCAGTTCTCTTCTTCCAATTCCTGCTTTTAACTTCGATTCCTGACTTGGGTTTTGAATTTCGTCAAAAAATGAAGAAATTCCGAGGTTTTTTGCTTAAACATAGAGTCATCTCACTATTCCGATGCATCCGCCGGAGAAACCAGCTGTCGCCGAGGGGATACCATCGGCTAAACCCATCTCTCAGATCGTTTTCAAAATTCTTGAAGTGGGGTGCTCGAGTTAAGGCGAAAGCAAGAGCTGTTTGTTCTATAAACCCCGCTTTTCGTTCGGGTTACTTTCGTATAGGAAAAGACTCCGTTGTGGAAACGGATCATGCGCCGCCGCACGCGACTGTTCCGAAGGGAAAGATGGCTGTGTACGTGGGACAGGACGACGGCGGTTTCGAGAGGGTGTTGGTGCCGGTGATATATATAAACCATCCTTTGTTTGGGCAGTTGTTGATGAAGGCGGAGGAGGAATACGGTCATGATCATCCCGGTGGTATCACGATTCCTTGCCGGATTTCAGAGTTTGAGAACGTGAAGACTAGGATTGCCGCTGGAAGCGGTGGCCGGAAAATGATACCCTCACCCTGGTAGCTGAGCAACACTTGATGACGACGGCGATATAAATTAGAATGTCACTTTTGTCTATCTTAGACTTTTGATTTTCTTCATATGTGTGGACATAAATAAATAATCTAAATTTCAAAGTGTTTTATAATATGGGTTACTGTTAGTTATTAATAACACCAATATTTGTCAAATTGTCTTGTTCTTTCTTTTAGTTTTTTTTTTTTGAATCACAAATATATACTATTATTATATTATTTTTCTTTTTTGTGGGATTGAATCATGACGTCCTAGTTGTTAGTCCTCCTTGGTTGTTAGTTTAAAACTATCATCTTAGCCAAATGGGATAGGTACGACAATAAAAACTTGGACAGGCTTTGTTATCATTCTTATTATTTTTTTGGTATCATTTCGTGTTATAAGAAACACTAAATAATTGAGAAAAAAAGTATTAGAAAAAAACTCATTTTTTTTCATTACAATCTTCAGAAAAAATGTGGATTTATTACCCATCATAATTAAAAACTGGTGAAAAACTGTAAAAAAATAAAAAAAATCACCGTATTTATTTTGTCGTTTTGGTAAGGTACGGTGTGGTACAATGGTACTTGCATAGTCTTTTTTATCATAAATTTGAATTTAAAAATTCTAGAAAATTCTGACGAAAATTAATAATATTATATATTTAAATGTACGGAAGCACTAAGTATTTGTAAGGAACCAACAATGGAATTTATGTAATAACCGGTTCACAAATATTTGTATATAATTTAAAAAGACGCATAAAATATACAAAATTTAGTTATGAAAAGGTAGCATAGCACACCTATCAATAAGTTGTGAAAGTATATGAATTTTTCTTTATTTTGACGTATTTTAAATTATTTTTATCATAAATCAAACTCGCTAATGATAAGTTTAATATTTTTATGGTATCAAAAAAATCTAATTTTTAAAATTTCGTAATTATCTATATTAAATTAACAATGTAGGCTAAGATAAAGTGGTACTTGCAAGTTGCAATAGATATTCATAATCCTTTTTATTTTAAAATTTTAACAACAGAAAGTTATATCAAAAAGCTATTGAATGCTAGAAGAATTTTTTATATCAATTTTATGGTTTTAGTGATTCCACTTTTATATTTCATTTGCTAAATTCATAAATATACATATATTATTGATATAATTATGTGTTCCTCATGGTTGTTAAAAATCTGATCTTGATATTAAGATTTAATGATTGTAAGATATTATAAGAAAAAAATGATCTTCATCATACTAAGGCCCCGTTTGATACGCATCTTTCCAGGTCCAAACAGATCTTTCTGGCTGAATGGACCTGAAAGACTGTTTGATTTGCACAAAAAAAAGGTCTTTCCCAGAAAGCCCCAAAATCATATCTTTCTGGTTGAATGGGCTGGAAAGACAATTATGCACCAAACCCCGCCTCTTTCTTTCTTTCTTGGATTATTAATTTTTTTTAATTTATTTTTTATTGAATTATTACTTTTTTTCATCATTCAGCACAGTCAATCAGATGTACAATCAAACAACATGGTTTATTTTCCAGTCAGAAACCTTTCCCAGACAGCACCTTACCAGATAGCACTTTCCGAGACAGAAACTATCATACGGGACATAAGTTCTATCTGAAGCAAGATCTATACTAAGATATTAGGATACCAATTAAGATCTTAAGATCCAGACAGAAACCAATTAAGTTTTTATATGTATATGTTTACATTGTTTATGTATTTTAAATTTATAAACGTATTTTTAACATATTTATATGCTTTTTTAAGTATTTTATATATTTTTTAATTATTTTTATGTGTTATTTTTTATGTATTATGTATTTATGTAATTCTATTAAGTTTTTTATATAGATGTTTATGCATTTTTATGTATTTTAAATGTATAAACGCTTTTTTTACATATTTATATGTATTTTTAAGTATTTTTATGAATTTTGATATGTTTTTATGTATTACGTATTTATATGAATTTTTATGTATTTATGTATTTTTTTAAAGTTTTTATATCAGTGTTTATGTATTTTAAATGTATAACTGTATTTTTTTTAGGTGTTTATGTATTTTTTACTTCAAATCGTCTTCACTATTTCATCTAATTTGTACAACTTCTTCGAGTATGTCTAGATGATTTTCCTACATACTCACATATTTTAAGCTTTTCCAATTAGCTTATCTTGAAATTAAACATCGAATGAAAAAAGCTTAAAATATATGGGTATGTAGTAAAACCATCTAGACGCACTCGAAGAAGTTGTGCGAATTAGATGAAATGGTGAAGACGACTTGAAGTAAAAAATACATAAATACGTAAAATTAATATGATTAAACATTTAAAATACATGAAAAATACATAAACATCTATATAAAAAAAACTAAAAAATACATAAAGACGGAAAAATTCATATAAATACATAATACATAAAAAAAACACATAAAAACAATCAAAAATATGTAAAATACTTACAAAAATACATATAAATACGTAAAGCAATACGTTTGTACATTTAAAATACATAAATATACATAAACATCTATATAAAAAACTTATAAATTACATAAATATGTAATACATAAAAAAACACATAAAAATACATAAACACTATGTAAAATACTTAAAAATAGATATAAATACGTAAAAAATACGTTTATACATTTAAAATACATAACCATCTATATAAAAAACTTGAAAAATACATAAATACATAAAAATACATATAAGTACATAATACATAAAATATAACACATAAAAATTTGTAAAATGGTTAAAAATACATATAAATAAGTAAAAAAAAATATGTTTATACATTTAAAATACATAAAAATATGTAAATATGTACATATAAAAACTTAAAAATTCAAAAATACGTAAAAATAAATATAAGTACGTAAAAAAATATGTTTATACATTATATACAAATTTTGACAAAATCTGCAAAAAAAGTTTCATTATTTTCGAAAAACTAACAATTTGGTCTCATGACCTGCTGAACAGGTCAAAAAGGGATAAGCTGAATAGTTTAGTCGGTTTATTAGGCTTTTCTATTCAAAAAGTGAAAAAGTTAGGATTTTTTTGTTCAAAAAATAAAATCTAGGACTTTATTAAAATTCTTCTCAAAATATTGAGATTTTTTCTGGAGATTTCCCGTAAATCTATTACTCCTTAGTGGTTTGGGAGGGTTAGGAGTGGTGGGTTGTTTTTTCAATTTCTCTAACTCGCTTCCTCTTCCCTCTCTCTCTCTCTATCTCTCTCTCTCTTTCTCTCTCTCTCTCTCTCTCTCTCTCTTGTACCACATGCTTTAAGATTTTTACTTTAGTTGTTTTGTATTTTTTTTTAATTTAGTGGGTTGGAAAAGATATGTTTTCCGTGTGTTGTAAGTTGGTAAAGATGAAAGAGAGAGGATAGAGAGAATATGATGTGGAACTGAAGTGACAGTGGGTTGAGTGGTTTAGGAGGGAATGACCCCTTCCTCCTTAACCCTAGGTTTTATAAGGCAGGAGGGAGTCGTTCTCTCCCAACCCATTCAGGACCGGTCTTGAGGATTCAAATGTCCGGGACGAGCCGAAAAAAAGGCCCTTAGGCCCTACTTGTAACAAATTATTTCAATCCAAAGATGATCCCAAAACTTGATTTTTTCAACCCAAGATGAAATCAAATTAATATACATAACAAAAAAGACAAATTGAACTTGAAATTATAAAACGTTAACAATTTGATTACAAATTTTTTACTAACCTTCTTTGATCTTTTTTAAAGAAGGTAGCAACACCTTTCTCCTTGTCTTCTACAATCACTGCATACAACAAATCTCACAAATCATTCAAATTTTCAACAGAAAATTTAAATAAAAAATGGAAAAAACTCAAAAATTACCCTCCCAAATCTGTAAATGTTAACTATATAATGTCATGCTATACTTTCGAGATGTTGAGCTTTGACATCAAACAAGATGGATTTGTATAGAGCAGTTAGGGTTTGAAGGAACAAGAGCAAATGTGATTCCCGACATGAATAATGAATATAATTAAAAAAAGGCTCCCCAAAAAAATGGTCCTTGTGCACATGCCAATCTTGCCCACCCTCATAACCGACCATGAACCCATTCAACCGAATGGCACATTAATGCCACATCAGTATTTCTCTCTCCTTTCTTCCTAAGGTTGCAAAGGCAAGACCCTTAAATAAAATTAGCTTGCCTTTTCTGTGTTTCTTGGGATGCTATTTTATAGGTTGTATACAGGATATAGTACGATTCTGGATATACATGGTCAGTATATCCTGATGGATTGAATATTGGTCCGTATATATTTGTGGGTTATGTCCCTTGTGGGCTGGAGCGCATACCCCATTAAGCCCCCAACCTAGTTGTCGTAAATAGTTGCTAGATGATTTATAATAATTGGGCTTAAATCTTGTCAAATCTGGTGATTAACCAAACGTTGGGTAGGGTATTGCACGCGCCTAGACATCCGTGTTTTAGCTACTTGATTGTTTTTGCAGCGGCTGCCTTTCCCGCCTCCTCTTCCATAAATACTTGTCACATCTGTCAGTTTTCTTTTTATATCTTCCCATTTTGTTCTTTTTGTGTTTTAGCTACTTGATTGTTTTTGCAGCGGCTGCCTTTCCCGCCTCCTCTTCTTTCATGTGTGGTTTTTGGTACTTGGGGGAACTCACTAAGTGTTATGCTTACAGATTTTGTTTATGGTTTCAGGTACTTCCAGTTCCAAAGGGAAGGGCCTGACATGATAGCAAAACATCATCCCCTCACGGTTTCCGCATTTGAAATAATTTGTACTCTGATGATTTAATACTATGATTTGTATGGATTTCGAACAATTAATGAATGTTTTGAATGACCTTTAAATGAAAAAAAATATTACTATTTTGGGATGTTAAATGGCATCGAGTCATAGAGTATTGAGGTTGTACTTAAGACTACTGAGTTGATTCAGCAGGTGCACGATAGGTTGCAAATCGCATAGAGCCGGCATA